ACCCGCGGAGCCTCCGCGGGCCCGCAGGAGCGTGGCCGGAGCCGGCCTCTCCGCTGTGCGGGGCCCTCCGTGCCGTGGGTGTGAGCTCAGCGCTGGGAGGCCCTCGGAGGTCCTCAGCAGGCAAAATTCCCCGGTTCTTCGTTGCAAACTCGCCTGCAGCGTTGGCTGCCTGGCGTCAGACCCTGCGGGCACCGATTTGTCTGCCTTATTTTTCTCAGTGAAGGAGAGTTGGCTCATAATCCCTGGTGCTGCTTCAGAAGCCACCTGGTTCTGGCAGAAAAAGCTACAGAAGCAGCTGAAAGAAATACACCCTAGATGGACAGGCTATTTGTGAAAAATGAAAAGGCTCCCTGTTTTTTAGTTATAGAAAAAAAAATTGTGCTCTTGCATTTTCTTGGAGAACAGGAGCATCAGCTTTACAGGACATAGCACAATGATGTGCACGTGTGCATCCCAAACCTTTTCTTGAGATGATTTTTCTGTCTGAAATCTTAGCATTTCAGTTGCTGGAAGTTTATTTGATGAGGATGTTACCCCCTTAATTCCCAGCGAAGTGTGAATTAATCCAATGTTGCTGTAAATGTAAAAAAACCAAGTAACTTCTTAACACTGCACTATTTAGCTTTATTGTGAGGAGATTATTAAAATTAAGTTTTTTTTTCCTTTTAAGTGTTGTAGTAATAATTCTGATATCAAAAGTATTGAGTTTGCCTTCCTGGTCTCTTAAGTGTTAGACTGAACTTTAGCACTTGCACAACAGTTGACATTGGAAAAACATAATAAAATCACTGGGTGTGGTAATAAAATGTGGCTGGCTTGCTAGGTGAAGTAGGAATTAGTTGTAACTAGTGGCAATATGCTACTGACAGATTAGCTGGAGAGCAAGACCACTTATGCAGAGAGCAGAGTGGTCTCCCCAACTTAATGGATAAAAATAAAGCTTTGTGTATTCTGAATAACCACACAGTTTTTCCTTATCTTGGGCTTCAGATAATTACACTGTCAGATTTGGAATGTGACTACATTAACGCTAGATCGTGCTGCTCAAAACTCAATAAAGTAAATTATTCTTTGCATTTAATATAGTTTAAGAAAACAGCCTTTCATCTTCACAGCACAAATAACAGGCGTGTAATGTGTATCCAAAGAGCCTTGATTGGCAATATTTTGCTGCTTATGCCTGTCTTTCAGCAAATGCAATCACAGAAGGCTGCTCTTGTGCTCAGAGATGGGCTGCTACTCAGAATTTGTGGGACTCCTCACACAGTTCTGTGCTTTCATTCTTGTAGGTTTGCCACACCAAGAATGTCTTCTCATGACTGAAGTTTGAGATCTTTACAGCAACTTTCTAATCTCTCTTGAACAGTAGAAAGCTTTACTGTGATAAGAAAACATACCATTTTAACCAAGTCTGCTTAAAACTGATTTAATTGAACCAATGTAGCCTTCCCTCCTGGGTGTTCACTTTGATTTAAAGGTATTTTCTTTCTTAATATAAGAGGGAATGCTATAGGATACTACCAAGCCAAAAATGTGTTGTTGCCAGGGGCTGACCCAACTTTATTTTGCCATATTTCGTATTGATCAGCTTTTTGAGTTGTTCCAAGCTGGAGGGTGTTGGTATGTTCTGTGTCTGTGCAGATTGTCATTATCTTCTCTCATTCCTAAATCCCCTGTTCTCTGCAGTGATTTCAAATGACTGCTGTATACTTTCTTAACTTGCTTTTATAAGTGCTTGTGTAATATAGTTGTGTTCAAACAGCTGCTGTGCTTTTCTCTAGACATTTTTTAATACTTTGATAAAGCATCTCTGTTACAATATCTTAGGGCCTGATTTCTGTATTAGTCATATGGAATCTGTCTGAAGTTACTAGTTTCCCCACATTGTGATGAAATAATATGTCCTTGCTATGAATTTTCTGTCTGAGCTTTACATTATTAGAATCAGATGATAACTTCATATAGATGTTTTTTAAGAAAGGAATTTACATTTGTGCTTGTAACTTTTTTTTTTCCTTCCCTTTTTACAGTGGGTGTTTCCTGAAGTGATTGGTCATGCTGTTGTAACTGTATTAATGCTTATTTCATTGCACTGGTTCATCTTTCTCCTTAATTTGCCAGTAGCAACATGGAATATATATAGGTAAGTGCAAAGGGGTTTATGTGCTTTTTTCCCCCCACTGTTACGTGTTTAGCTTGTAGTATGAAGATAAGCAATATGTCATGTTTCAGTTGTGTTCTTGAGCTGCTAACAACCTTCATGGATCTAATTAACATAAGACTCCCTTTCCAGTTAAAATTACAAGAAACTCAACCGTTTAAAGGATATTAAACTTTTGGCCTTTCTGTAGTGCCCAGGAATCTTGATTTGTGAGTAATTCCCAAGTTCATAGGAAGTAATAGCATGTTAATTTGGATTATGAAGGAGTATTGCAAACATAGTTGTTAGTGTTTTTCATTCTGTGCCTACATGCTATTGCAAACATAGTTGTTAGTGTTTTTCATTCTGTGCCTACATGCCTGCTAGTGATACTAGCATCAAAGTACTTATTCAGCACAGCTGATGGCTGTAAAATTGGCTGTGGTGTTGTCCCCTACACCCTCCTTCATTTACTGTCTTGTCTCTCCCCTTTGTATGCATTACTTTTGGCCCCCCATCTTGCCTGTTTGTATTTGGAAAGGTTTTCAGACTTGTGATCTTATAACAACTGTCCATGTTACTGGTTTTGAAATGGTTTCCTTCTCAGTAGGGGTTTCCATGTGGCAACATTGGGACTGTTGGTTCAGAAATGGTCATTTTCTGTCATTCGATGTGCAGAGGATTGAACCTTTATAGGTGTCATGCTAATGAAAACTAGTGGTGGATCTGCCACAAATTATCTCTAATCACTGTACTGTGCGAAGTCCAAAAGACCGAATGTTTAAGATAGAGGTATGAAAAGTTGGCTGTAATTCTTGTTTGCCTGAACCTCCTAGGGCCAGCTTTTTGCAGGGATGGGTCAAGTTGCTCCTAAAATGTAACAGAGTTCCATAGCTGTCATTAAAATAAGCTGAATATCTGTTTACTTATCATCTCATTCTTGGGCAAAATAATAATGTGATTATCACCGTTTTTCTACAAAACTGCTAGCAAAGCATTCAAATGTTTCTAAGCTGGAGTAACATGAGACAGTATAACTTGTATGCTTAATAAACATGGTGCCTAAATGCATACGTACAGGGATAGTTTTGTTTTGCCACCCATAGGTACAACTGTATTATACACTGTTGCACAAAATGACCAGTATTCCCTTTGGTATCTGCTGGCAAGTATGGAGTTTGTGTTTGATGTTTTGTTTGGCTAGACTGTTTCTACAGAGACATTAGAGAGAGAAGTACAAGAAATGAAAGCTTCAAAGAAAATACCTACTTCTGCTGCTTCCTTTCTCTTAAGTTATGTCAATGTTTAAAGTAGCTACTTAGTTTCCTTTCTAAACCTGGTTAGAGAGAATTTTAAACATACAATTAATTCTATTTCTACACTTCAGTGAGTAAGCTTTGAGTGGTGTTTTGAAATGACAGCTCTCATTTTGTATTTCTTATACATGGAGTACACATTCTGAATATTCTGAAATCTAGGATTGTTATCATAGAAACATAGAATCATAGAATATTTTGGGTTGGAAGAGACCTTAAAGATCATCTATAACATAAGATAGACATTGTGATGTCTATTTTGCATAGACATGCTTGAGACTATAGGTTAGAATAATCTGGCTCTTGTAATGTCTTTAGGTAGATTATGCCCATCTTCAAATTTAAGGAATAATAAAAAAATACAATATTTAAAATAAAGTGAAAATTTTGACCAGGATTTCCACATCCCTTACAAAATTGTGTAATCTGCAGGGAAATGTCCTGTTGCTGTGGCAGCAGCTTCCACTGAATAGAAGCCCTGGAGGCACTAATGTGTATATTCTTTAAAGCCGACAGTTTTCTTGTTCTGTGTGCTTTTGCAGCACAAATGTTTTGCTGTTTAGGATGTTAACAACTGGCTTGACTTGTGTTTGTCAGCATCTGGCATTGTGGTGGCCATTACTACAGTTTCTTGATGTGTAATATAAGATGTACGTGCTTGTGAGCCTCTTGGAAAAACTACCTTCCAGGTCCCACAAGCTTTAATTACATTGCATAATTTAAGTGTTATCACTCTTCTTAAAAAGCAAAATTATTAAATCGTAGACTTATAAGAGAACTATGCCCTCTATTTCTTGCATAAATTGGTATAGGAAGCTTGTGTTCTTCCTTATAGTGCATTTTAAAGGATAAATCTTCAGTAAATGTTATAATACTAAAAATAGATGAGTTGCTTAAAATTTAAAATATATGAGAGACTTTCAAACTGTAGTTATTTCACATCAACTATTTTTATGGGACATAGTTGTCTTTGTTATTAGTCAAATATGCTGCAGTGCTTTTTAATGACTCTGTGAAAGCCAAATACTGTGGTACTAACTTCTTGTTTTGTTTTGGTATTTTTTCTCCTGCTGCTGCTAGAAAATATCCTTGGTTCTTGTTCCCTTTCTTCCCCTCCTGTTATTGAAATGAATGTTTAAGAGTTGGGTGAGTGCCTTTTGGAGTACAAGAGGTGCCATTCTTTGAGTATATAAAGAAAATCAAAAGGTGTTGTTTTTTGAGACCTTGTTTTTTTCTAGGTGTAAGACCAGGAGTTAAATTCTTGTGTAGAAAGAGTTTTATTCTAGGAAGACAGAGCCTGTATGACATTAAGTGAATAATAATACTGACTGAGCTAATCTGGAGTGAGAACTTAATGTGTTTGTATTTGCTCTCTTGAGAAATGCTTATGACAAAAAAAACCAAACACAACACATGCTGCTTGTTGAATTTTCACAGGACATAAACATTTGTTTTGCTGGTTCTGTTCTTTTTGCTTACATTTCACTTTGTTTCAGTCAATTTTTGTTCTTATGTGAGTTTAGACAGCAGTACTTAACTTTGGTTTTTCCTTGTTTCTCATCCTGCCAGCCTCAGTATCTATGCTGAAATAACACAGAATGGTTGTGACAAAGATGGGAATACTACACACATCATTTGTCTTCTCTTATGCTATCTCACTTTGACTACTGCAGTTTGTGCTTATGTGGGGGTCTTTAAATAAATATCTAATTCTTGGCTAAATTAATTCTTTTCATCTAATGTATCTTTCCCCTGTGGGTAGATGTTTCCTTCATAATGCTGAATAACCACAAGCAACAATTAAAATGAACTGGAATTGGCTACTACCTCAAAACTTTCCCATTTATACATGAGAAACTGGGCTGATACTTCTAATACCTCTTGTCCTTGTATTCTTTCTTTGTGGGTTGTAGTGGCAGAGATACATGCAACACCCTGAAACTGAAACAGAATTAAAAAGCTCCCTTATGTTGAATTGTGAAACAACTTATATAAAAGTCCCACCTGTGCAAGCTCTCCTCCCCTTCCCGACACTGCCTCATGTTTTGATGACCATACTTCTGTTTTTTCTTTTAAACTTTTAGGTACATTATGGTGCCAAGTGGAAACATGGGGGTATTTGATCCCACAGAGATCCATAACCGAGGACAACTGAAATCACACATGAAGGAAGCCATGATTAAACTAGGCTTTCATCTGCTCTGTTTCTTCATGTACCTTTACAGGTTAGTTTCAAAAATTGCTCCTAAGGAACAAAGGAATTGTCTGCAAGCTATTTTTATCTCCTCTATTTAGCTAGTGTAATCGCTGGTATTCGTGTCTTTTTGCATACTGCTAAGCCTCAATAATGTATTTTCACAGCTATCTCCAGGCTCGTTATTTGAGTGCCTTTATTCTTTCTGATCAAGCATTGTTTGGAAACTCAGACTATTTTGTAATCTCACTAAGTACAATATAAGGAGTTACAGCACCTAGAATAAGTGGCCTGTTTAGAATGGAAATCATCTTGAGGACCAAGTTTATTTTGCAAGTTCTGTTTTAGAAAATAAAATAAATCAGGCTAAGTGGCAAGCAGATGAATTCTGTGATGGGACCACTTATTACTAGGTGGAAGAACTACTATTCTACTGCAGTATTACTTCTGCAATCCTTGTCTCCATAAGCAAAGCACATAGCAAGTCAAGGCAACTGCAATTTCAGAATCAAATGCAGTTCTCTCATGAAAGTGATTGCTGTTCCTTCTTGCATATGCTTCAGTAATTCACTGGTGTAATGTTTTCTGTTTTGTCACAGTATGATTCTGGCTTTGATAAATGATTGAGAAGTTGAAAAAGATCGATTAGCTGCCAAATTGGGTCATCACTCCAGTGACTGGTTGTGGAGCTACAGACACCTTCCAAACCTACCTAGCTCAGTGTTGTCATGCAGTATATTTTTCCTCTTTGAACAATAAATATTTTTCTGTATTTTTAACATAAAATATTTTCAAAAGACATGGGATTTGTGTAGCAGTTATTTTTGTTCCTTTACAATCCAAACTGCTGGAGCTGCTGCTTCTGTAAGATGAAATCCTTGCTTACAGAACTCATCTGGAATTAAATGGTGAGAAAGGGAACATGTTTCAGCACTATGTGCTGGTAATAGTGGTAGTTCCAGAAAAAAATTAAATGCAGCTCTGATGTCTGCTTCTTACTGAAAGTTGTCAAGATTGTGCCTCTGGATCTCAAGCTGTCCTGTTAGACCCTAGTTTGAAGAAGTGCTTGGAACACAGATTTCAAAGTGGAACACTAGCACAGCTTGCTTCTTTGTGTCAGAGTTTTTTCCAGCTAAAAAGCAATGGAATAGAAGTGATGCTTTTCTACCTTTCCACCCATCTCCAACAAACTCTATGAAGTCTTGTATTGAGAAGGATCAAGGTCTCCTTGGTGAAAGTGACACTTGGGTGTAAGGGTGAAGAACAAAGATGAAACATTAATACTTTTTCCCTTCAACTCCTATTTTGTCATTGAACTGCATCCTTGATCTCCATACAAAGTAAACCTCATATTGCACCAGGGTTGGAGTTGGTTATAAAAAGACTGTGCAGTCACTGCTTCATGAACCTGCTGTTTCCATATCCAGGGAGGTGAATCAAGAGCATGTCTAGCTTGGAGAGATGGTCTGGTGAACCATAATCCAGTTATCCCAATTCTGATGTAACTGCTTCAAAAACACCAGCAAATTAAGTTCATTTTCTGTGGCTTTTGTGTCAGTGATAAATATATATAAGCCTGAGTTTGTATCATCACTGTCTTTAAAATTTTCTATATGTATAGGAACAGGCTTTTTGAAATAAACACATTGAGTGAAACATAAAAAAATACAGTTCTGTAAATAAGTCCTAAAATGTCTAAGTTTTTCCTTCTCAAGTATTTGTTCTTTGGTATATAGCTGTATTTAGCAGATTGTTTCAGTGAAAAGACAACACTGAAGTTATATTTCTCTAGATACCCTGTGTTCAGTGTTTGTTCTAGGAAAAGCTTGACTTTAAATTTATGATCGATGGAGTCTTAAGTTCAGCTGTTGCAAAGATGAAAAACTGCTGAAAATTACACTGTTAAAAAAATAACTAAGGAAATTGTTACCACAGTTGCTTGCCACCAACTACTTGACACCAGAAAAATCAGACTAGAGAAAGTACTGCCTTATAAAGCTGAATCCCAGACCAGAGGTAGGTCTGGAAAAAGGAGAGTAAATAAAACTTGCAAAGTCAGTAATTTCTGTAGCAGCTTATATGGTAGGCAATTATGTTACTTTTATGTGAAAAAAATATATTACACCTATGTTGAGTTTTTATCTATTTGCAAAAAGGACAGTGTTAGTAATCTGCTTAAGTCCTTGCTGTAGTGCTAACAGATAAATTTCATTAATGATGTTTCACATTGAGAAACACAATCTCTAAGCCTACCACTTAAGCTAGCAATTTCATTTCTTATTCTGAAGACATGATTTTGAGAGGAGCTTTATTATTAATGATGATGTAAGAGGCATTGTCTTAAATAATTTCTAACTACTGACACCTCAGAATCACAGTGATGACATTACATAGGATAGAGATAGCGTATGTGTCTCTTGCAGTCATCTCACCAGAGGTAGACATAAGACAGCAGATGAAACGAAGTAATAAGAAACCAAACAAACCAAAACCAAACGACTAATTTAATCTGCTGTGTGAATTTTTTATGGCCGAAACAGGTCTGCAGTCTTACAACTCTCCTGCAAATATGAGTAGTACCCAAGGGAAGCAGCACATGGGAAGAAATAAGACATGCCCCTTCTGTTTGCACCTGCATTTAAGGCATGGTTAGGCAACGACTATTCAAAGAGTAAGTGAAGGAGTAAGCTTAATACAGAGGTACTCCTAGGAGTAAAGGTATTTTCTCACCAATATAGAAGATAGAATAAAAAAACCTGATGCAGTTCAGCAAAATTTTGCATTTAGAGAAGCTACAGGAAAAGGACAGCAAATTTATGTGTATCTTTTTATTTAACTATTAGCTACACCTGAATAAAAATGTCCAAGATGCCAAAGATGAAGTTCTGTTTTAAGGTACAGAGAAAAAGAACAAAACACAGCATTAGCTGGAGGAAACAATGGCAAAATTTAAGGAATATCTTCCAGATCTGTCAGGCATAGAAGCTCCTTTATGTCAACTGCAGATATAAGTCTGGAAGGCCCTGATCTCCAGTTCAATAGACACCTAAGCAAGAGATCTAAGTATTTTAGGAGCACCTTCTTGATATATATCAGAAAAGCCACAAAACCCACCACTGACCTAAAGCAATCATGTCTGGTATTTACACAGTGTCCAGCCTTAAGGAATCAAAGTCTTCAGGGAGCCTTGAAGGAGCCAGACCTTTATCAAGTTAGATTAAGCACAGAAGGGGACAAAGGCAAGTAGAGTGCTAAATATACAGTGAAAACACAATCATGAGGTAGATTAGAACCAGACATCAAGAACTGGAAAGCCTGCACACAACACTGAATGCAGCTGAACTGCTGCAAATTAATTTTCCTAGCAAGGAAACAGAAGACTACAAACATGGAAGGAATCTAAAATTAATGATCAAGAAATTAAGATCCAAGTCAGTAATGTAAGTGAAGTTAGGGAAACTAAGAACTATTCATTCCAGTTATTTATTCTGTTTATTGAATTGAAAGAAAGGGAATACAAACATTTCTGTTAAGTGCTGTGCACCAACATGGAAAAAGTGTATTTTTTTTAAAAACCCTAATAAAAACAAATCAGAAGTTAATGTAGTTCCAATTGATTTTTAAAGATATGTTTAAAATACTACACATTCATAAAATAAAGTTAAAACGGTGTTCTGTAAATAATTAGTAAAACAAGTGAAAATAAATACGAGACCCAAAGTTCTTAAGTTTTTAATGTAATATAGCAAAGAAAATTTTAACTACTTAATATAATTCAAGGAGAGTAACAAAAATCCAGAAAGTTTAAGAGCGCAATCCTTTGAAACATTTAATATCAGTCCATAGCAAAGTCATTACATACCAAAAGCTCTAAGTGTTAACTAGTTCCACCACAACTCCATATAAATCTTGACAATTTAGAAATCTTGAGATCAACAATAAAGTTCTTTTCTTGATCTCTACAGCTTGGTTTGTAAGTACATACATGCTTTGAGGATCCATTTTGTCCCATAAGTTTTCAAGGAGCCAATAACTTTTTCCATCTGTGCCTAAAAATGTTAAAAGATTCAAATCTAGCACATATACTCTAGCAATGAAAAATGTTTTAAGAAAAAAGATGGGGCACAATGAATTTCAAATTTATAAAAATATACTGATATTAACCAAAACCTTCTGGTCAAAGGACACTTCACATACACACGATATAAAGTATGCAATAAAACATGACAAGTACCTAGAACATTTGGTTCTCTGTTCATGGAACACAAGCACACACACATTCATACCAGATGGGAGGAACACTCTCACATTTTATTGAATCCATATTATCTGGATTATTCTTATTATAGAAATAAGAAAACTTGTATACAGTTTCTTTCAACAACTAGAGGCAGCTACTGCAGCAGTAGTTCAACACTGCACACTTCAATTAAGTCCACCCTGTTTAAAAAAGTGTCAATTTTTTTTTTCTGTGTTTTTTCTTTCTTTCTAAAGATTTATACAAGTAACAGTTTTCAAAATTAAGTATGGCAGCTGAAAATGTACTCAAGCCAATGTGGAAAAGACAGGAGGAGGTCAGAAGGAATATTAGCCACTTCTGGGATGGGTGTTCCTCTTAATAGTTGTCTCAAAAAAAATAATTGAGAAACAAGTGTATTTTGTAGCTAAAAATACAGACCAACTATTGAAAGTGCATTTTTCCTCCTCCCTCTTGAGTTCAGTAGTTTGTTGGTCAGTAAATCCTACTTTTTATGTTAATTCCTCTTTCTCTACCTTCTTCCCCATTTGGGTCTACATCATCTCCCCTCAAACTACAGCTAATTGTACGAGTCCTTACTTCCTTCTAAAGAAGCCTTCAAAACTGAATTTGGGTGGGAGTATCACTTAGCAGTGTAAAAGTAGAGAACTAGACACAAACTCCCAAGAATATACTGAGTTTTATTAGACATTACCTGTTTGAAGCCAAGTTGGGAAGTAACTGGCAAGATCTGGATAGATTCCTACCTTGCATCTTTGCTCTAATAATAATAAAAAGAAATTAACTTTAAAAGTTGGAGAACTTTAGAAGGGAATTTAAAAGAAAGGTGTAATTTTTTCCCCCACTACCCTCCCCTCCAAAACAAGGACAGAACCAGCATCTTCCCTTTTGTGCCTTGAAAATTACTTACCTGAACAGCTAAAGAACATTCAGATAATTAAATGCTTCAGCATAATTTTTTTAAAGATCTCCCTTGACAATAACCTGGGGCTACTGTGAATATTTTAAGCCAACAGTTGACCAGAGAAAGTTACAAAAGGAGCACATGCTTACAGTATTTTCCTCTCTAAAACAATACGCCTTTTGACTGAAATACAGTAATTTATTGCAGGTGTGTACTTGTTCCAGCCTTAGATTCCAGCCTATGAACATTTTTAAGCACATGGAAATCAACGTGTTACAAATGAGCAAATTTATTTGTTCTCTACCCCTCCCAGTCTCATTTTTATAGTGGGTACAAAAAGTATTGGTACTTTTCAATTCACATATTGCGAATGTAATGTGTTAGAAATAGTTTAGGTTCCTCTTTAATCTACAGGTTGGAATGGCAGTCATTACCACTAGATCTGTAATATTAGTTTACTGGGGGACCAAGTAGCCTGGTTAAATGCAGATGACTCTCACCTTTCTCACCTCTGCTCATCCCCTGTGCGAGACAGAGCTGTGCAAGACGCAGTTACTGAGCCACTCTGGAAACAGTGTCCTCTATAGGGAGCTTTCCTTTACATTGCATAGTTGCACCACAGAACTGAAGTGGAGATATCAGAACATGTGCTTCTCCCTAACTCTGCTTCTGAATACCTGAAGTGTATTTCAGAGGTACAAACCAAGTTCAGAAGAGAAACCCCAGAACAGAGGGGCAGTATTTTGGCAAAAGCACTAAGTTTCAATTTCTAAATCGCAATGCATTGCAATGAAAAGTAGGCATCAGCCCATACCACCCACCCCAATCTTTTATTTAGATATGGCCACTACATGAAAAATGCCTGCTGAAGTGCTCGTGAGACTTCAAATCTAAACTTGAGATTTGATCCAGCCTTCAATCCCCTGCCTAAAGTTCCCACTGAAGCCCCATGCGTATGAGGTAAGCAGACCATTGTATGAGACTTTAAGAGACATCAAAAGAAAATTATACTCCATATTCTCCCCAAATAATGTTTTGTTTGAAAACCTAAGTTCCAGAGTAAGACAATAATTTAGGTATTAATTTTTTATTTAAAACCCAAAGGTTTACCTTACTCAAATTTGACCTTAGGAAGCTGGCAGTTTCCCTGCAACACTAATGCCACAAGGAAGGAGACTGACTAATCTTACACTGTCTTAACTAGAAACAGAAACAAACAGCTTCCTCTAGAACCAGCTAATGGAAAAAGGAACTTATTTGTAGTCTTAAGTTTACACAAGTATTCCCAGTACTGTGGAACAGTAATTCACATTAATTTTAAGACAGATATACCAGATTGAAGACAAGAACATTAAGTTCCTACTTGATTTTGGAGGTATGTCAGATTCAGGGCTGGTATCAGAATCTTAAATCATGTTCCCATTTACACAAAAGGCAAGAAAAAATCCCGCCACCAGATGGCTGGAATCTAAAAAAGCAAAAAACAAACAAACCAACCAAACAAAACCACCAAAAAGCAAACAAACAAACAAAAAAACAAAACAACAAAACCAAATCAACAAAAAAAACCCACAATAACAAAAAAAATAAAATTAAAAAAACCCAACACAACAACCCAACCAACTAACCTGCTAAGCTTCACTTTGTTTTTCTGGGAAAGAGAAAAGGAACTGTTTATGTTATAAACAGCACATTCCCATGTATCCACGTGGTTACACTTCTCTTCCCAGGAACTCTGGCAAACCTTCCCCCACCCTTCTTCCACATATGACTAATAAGGACACTAGGTTATTATCTCAAAGGATGAAGTCCATATTTCTGTTCACATAATTCTTGGTGGCATGCCTTTCCCTTTTCCTCCTCACTTCACCACAGTACCAATAGTACCTTTCTACCCAAGTCAGCAAAAGGGCATCCAGCGCCATCCCATAATGAATTTGTGTGTAGTGCAGAAGCACAGAGATGCTAGGCCATCTGTTTATGTCAAAAACAATAAATACTTAGATTATAAATGTCCTTCTCTTTTCTTAACAAGGGATATTAGTGGAACTATTCCTAGATGTGTCAAGATGTTCACAGCACCAGCTCTTCAACAAGGTCTGGGAGAGGCATTTAAATCTGCAAACTTAAAACATGTTTTCTCAAAAAGAAAATCTATACACCTTTGTTTTATCAAATAAAGAAAAAATTGCATCATAATACAAGTGTTTAATTATGCTTTTTATGTTCATTACTTTTACAAAATGTTGACTTTGTGAGGAAAGGACTCCTTCAATGCATTTTTCCCTCAAGGTGTAGTCTACCTTTTACCAGCATTACTGCATATATTTATATAATTAAAAAAACAAAAAGACCATGTCTTATTTAAACTCTTAGTCTAGTGGTGCACTCTGAATGCTTTTTTTTCTAAGTAATACTCTATCAGTTAACATCAACAGTGAATTCCTCCTAAAACAAGCTTCACTGTCTATATAAAGGTCCTTCCAGCCACTGCTTTTGATTGGGTCTCAAGACACTCCAGAAAAGCATCAGTGATACTGTGTTTCATGACACTTCTTGCATTGTTTTAATTCCAAATGTATACAAATGAAGTCATTTTAATCCTATAAATAATTTATTTTTTAAAAATTGTGCTGTTAACCCCTTTGCAGGGCAACGAGCTATGTGAAAAGTACAAAACTTTTTGTCAAATATGATATTGAGAGTGCTTTTGACGTAGTTCATTGGTTTATCATCTCAATTTATATATACTGCGCAACGGGCACGGCTAGAATCCATGAACCAAGCTGCAAAGATCTCAAGCTAAGTAAGGCGGAGAGAGACTTGAGAGACAATGAAATACTTTCCTATCCAATGTATACTCTTCAGACTAAAGCACTCTTTCTATCAAGCCTTCTAAACTGTTAAATAAAGTGTTCCAAACAAGCATTTAAACTTCATTACACAGAAGAGCAACAAGTAGTAGAAGAGTAGTAGTAGAAGAGCTACAAGAACAGTAGCCTGCCAGACAAAAAGGCAGGAGGGAAAATATATATATATACTGAGTTCAATGGTTAGCCTGAATGTAGCACAGTTCTTCACAACCGATGGGGGGATAATTTCAACACGGTGTCCAACAACGTTCTAACGACGTGCTTCATCTCGACTGGTTACTATGAAGCAAGGTGGTAAATGTTTGGCCCCAACCGGGCTTCAGAAATGGTTCTTTTTCATGACGAGCATGTCTGTCCAGCTATCAATCATGTGTGTTTGCACCAAATCCCAAGCCATTTAAAATACGACTAATTAAGTTAAACTGAAGTCGTCTGCTCCAAGTTCGCCATCAACTATCCATGCTACTGCATTCCTCTGAGCAAAAACAAAAACATAAGAGAAAGAAATCACATCTTGAAGATCCTATTAATACTTTGTATTACAAGACCAGTAATACAGTGTATTTACATAAGTTTTACTGAACATGCATTAGTGAATACATCTTATACCATAGCTAAATCCCATGCTAAAAATTAATTGGTTTAGATGTCATTAATCATATTAATTTAGCATGCTAGGTGTTGGTACACAAAACATTTTCATTGAAGTTCCAGAGAAGTGTGCCAATTACAAAGCTGTCTGTCATCCATTTAAAGTTTGTAAAATTGTTAGGTATTATTCTGTGCACTACACCTCTTGTGGAAGCACTGCTGTGAGAAACTCAAGTTTGTATCAGTTTGATTTTTATGACGTTTACCAGCTGATTTTCTGGAGGAACTAATAAAGAGTGAGCAAGCAGCTAATTGGAAGAAACAGACAAACAAAACCATGAATAAAACCAACTGGAGGATAGGCTCCGAGTCCTTATGGGTGCACTCAAGTTGTTACAAACAGGAGGTTGGCCAGGCTGGTCCACCTAGTCCAAGACCAGAAGCAGATGCATCAGAAAGCACAGCAGCAGGGAGAAGAGGTAATCCTTCCTCCTAATATCCTTCCAGCCATTTTCACCTAAGGTACATTTCTGAACTAAAGGTGTTTACTTATCTAGGTAGCACTCAATGGATTTCTCTTTCATTATTTATGAACTCATATTCATACCTAATAACCACAAGATCCTGTGGCATTGGGATATACTGTATTTCATGTTAATGCCTACTGTAAATTTTTACCACCAAATATAATGTGTAATGACAGATCAGCCCTCCTGTGGTCACCTCATTACCACTTCTGGGAGGCAGGCAAGAAGAGCTGGGAACAAATGCGCATTTTGGCTGTGAAAAAAGTGTCTCTCTCTTTCTCTCTCTCTTCTGGACACAGATCATTGCTGATGTTTTGGAAAGAGTCAATTGTGTACAGATTTTATGGTGGGAAACTTCACTGCCTGGAGACTTCAGAGAGCCAGTTTCTAAGCATTTTAGTATCATTATTCAATTTGCAGTACAGTCAGAATGCATTATTTAAATTTTAATAACACTGTATGTTATTAAACCTTGAGCACTGGAAGCATGATTTTCAGGAAGTCCATGCAAGTAAGTTAATATAATCCTAAGCTTTGCACAGGGCTATGTCAGAAATTTGAGCATTATTTTGGAAATACCAGTAATTTCATTTTTATTCCACAAACATAAGTGACTTAGATAAATCCATATATAAAACTCCAGTAATTTCTTTTTAGTATAAGTAACAATTCTAATCCACAAGTTGAAAGCTTTTTTAATTCTACTTATGGTATGGAAATTCCACCAAACCAGCTGCCCTTTGATGTAAGCTTTTAGTGATTAAAGAACACACACAGTTTTTTACCTTCAATATCCTGGTTGTCTACAAAAGGTGCTGGTCCCCATATTCTAACAGTGCCATCATCAGAGGCGCTGGCCATCATGGATGGAACCTGTGGGTTCCAGCTCACACAGTTAACAGTACGCGTGTGCCCCGTCAGCTCCGCAATTGGCAGCTCGCTACGCTTGTGCCAAATATATACTTTGTGATCTAAATAAAATATGCATAAAAAAACCAACATAGTGAAAAACATTGTTCTACACAGAACAATTTGTCACATCAAACAGCACTTCCACACAAGCCCTCAGAAACTAATAAAACCCATTAATGTTGTAAAACCTGTGTCTGTTCAATGGGCAATAGCACTAACAAAATTTTTCTTCTAAAAGCAATCAAAAGAATATGGGTGATGCTCTTCCACTACGAGGCACATTCTCTTTTAAGACTTGCAAGTCTACTATGCTTAGTATTTGAAGAAAAACATTTTACTACAATGCAAATAAGCCAATACAAGGCTAAAGAGAAAAACAAAGCCATTCTTAAAGATATGGAATTGTAAGCTTATGAAAAAGGAGGTCTTGCAGGTTTTTTTTCTTAATTGTATTTACAGAGTGGTACATGCATTATCAAGTCATGAATACTATAGCAGAATATTTACAACCACCACTGTTGATGAGCACTATTTAAGATCGCAGCTCTAGTTTATGAAATGCATCTGGACACTAAAGAACTAAAACGTTCCAGTGAAAGTGCAAACACAGCAAATGAGGGAGAGCAACAAAGCTTATTGTCTCAAATTGTGATCTATTACTGTCTTCAACAACAGCTAGTTTTTGTGCAGTATTTGAAGATACACATTTGTACATATTAAAGTAGATGTAATAAACCACCTTATAGATCTTATTCTGTGATAGGAGTATTTTAATTATTTCTAGCAACATGCTATAAACAGAACAGTGAACTAGTCAGACAAGAGACCCCAATGCAATTTTTAGAGAAGTGATACTGCTTTATAACCAACACATTTAGGAATAAATTAATAAAGGTGTTTTGGTTTTGGGGAGTATTTTTTCCAGCTGTAGACTAGCAGCCTTCAACAAACCTGCGTGTTGACCACACTAAAAATGCCTTTTGAATATTCCAAAACAGAGCTATACAAACTGAACAAGTACATAGTAACTACTAGCATTACACAAAAGCCTAATATTTATGTCTAGCATATAAAGTATTTTAATCTATCTGAAAGGTTTTAATGCAGATGTAATTCTGGAGGCTTAGCAAACAAACTAATCTTCCTTTACTCCTCCCAACCCCTTACAAAACAAACTTGCTCTCTGACCTACCTGCTAGAATAGCATCATGGAACCATGAGATAACTCAATTGTCATCTGCTGAATCAGCTCATTTGAGTACACCACCATTATATATACTTGCATTGATGCAAATGTTCTTGTGTTTACATTCTACTTAGGATTTCAAGAGACTACATGTCCATGCCATTCATCAAACAACACAATTCACTCTCTGCTTAAACACTAGACAGGCAAGCCTTTGCTGTCTGGGAGAATCAAAGCCTAACCACAACCCAGTATTTTGGTGCTTCTCAGAATGCCTGTGTTTTGTTTTGGAAAAAAAATTAGTCAGATTAGGGCAGCAGCCAATTTCACTCTCGGAAAGAGAGCTCCATTTTCTTCCTATTGATGCCAGTGTTAGAAAAACGCCTACCTAGCTGACAATGTACCTTCAGTTTAAGAGGTTATGGCAATGTTATCAATCTATTACTTGTTTTAAAAAGGTTATGAAAATGCAATGTTTTTGTTTGCGTATTTTTAAGATACAGACGCAGTAGTTACATTTGCAACAATTCAGTACAAAGAGGCAACAGCTTCAGACAGTTCAAACCTAAATCAAGCGTCATCAGTTTCAGCTACTGCTCAGTAGTTTTTAGACAGTGAAGAAAATAAAGAATAAATTAAATAAGAAAAAAAAAGTAGTATATACACTTACACAAGCACATCAGTTTGACTCAACACAAACCCTGAACTTTTGGCTACTTGGGTCTCAAACCAAGAACCTTGTTAAACTACGAAAAGATGTTCACACTGCACGGGAGTCCTTCAGTCATTATATTCCTTTGGGTCTGGTCAGAGGGTGAAATTTGTTTTTTAGACATATTTAGCATTTTCCAGAAAAGGATAGTAGTAAATGTCCTGGCTAACCTTACTTCCTAACAGCTGTGAATCACATAGTACTAACAATGACTGCTTACATATTCCAAGTGTAATTTTTAGTCCTGCATAGGTTTGAATCAAGTGACTTCCATGGGAAGTGATGGCATTACATCAGTGACAAAACTGAACCAATTAAAGATATAAACCATTAATTTCTACTCTTGCCACAGAGAATTGAATAAAAACATACCACAAACCCTTTGATCACCAAGAAACCCTGCCAGACTATGGCAACAACAGCTTAATTTTAGACTACTGTCATAATTAAGATGACTGTTGAAATTAAAATAACCTCACCACACTTATATCTTTAACAGGCAAATTACGCTGTTGCTCCTCAGAAATATTTTTTATTTGAACCATAAGCCTAAATAGCATACCACAAAATGAAAAAGCCTCAAGAACACCCCACCCACTTCTAATTAAAATTGTGCAGATGCTTTGGCTTTACAGGAACAACACAAGAGAGTCATTCATGCTTCCTACAACTACCACCCTCTCAAAAGATTCTTCCTGCCGGCACACAATTTTTTCTTCAAGTATGCCACAAACTCAGTGCTCCTCAAACTTAGTTAAACCAGTTGCTTGCTTTTATAGATGCTAACAACAAAGTAAGGTATAGGAAGGATACAGTGTTCCAGTTTCCTGCACAAAGGGGAACGATGTTACCTTCACTGCCACTCGCAATGAAATCTTCATTATGACCTCCAAAACACGAGTGAATTGTGTAAAATCCTTGTGTAACACCTTGATACTTTCTCACTAAAACTCTGTCTTGTAAGTCCCATAAGTGAACTCCCTGGTAATATGAAGCAGAAAGGATGTTATTTTATCATTAAACATTTCTCATTGCACTCTTTTGAAACATTAACAATATTTAAACATTATGAAAGTACAATACTTAAGGTAACTTCAGCATTAGATCAAGAGAGTAAAGATATACCAAAAAATTACTAGATAAAACTTCCAGTCTGCGGTTCCTTCCATTTTGAAAGCTCCTATTCTTACTGAAGGTTCCAAATGTATAAATAAAATCTAATTCTCACACCACAAACATTTTAACCTGCCGAAATTCTTGCTGTACCTGGCTTCTCAACAGCCAGATATTAACATTTAATAGTACAAATTTCATAGTATGAAACTCTTGACTATAAATGTGTCAAAACAACCAGTCTCAAGAATAAGACTGTCTTCTTGTCTGAGAAGGCCATGCTACATTTTTTAATATTAAGGCCTTCATATTACATGAAATAAAACTGGTTAATATCAAACATTCCAATTCATATAGAAATATTTAAAAGCAGGTAGGAGGTGGAAGCAGATTTATTTTAATTTCCACTTATCCCAAACTTACCTGAGTTGCTACATTTAACAAAGCTAAACGGCCATTTTTTGAAATAGTAAACGACATAATAGGGTGATCTTCTTGGACTCTGAAATTACAAGACACAGCAGTGTTAAGAGTACACTTTATGTTGCATCACTATTTGGTTAAGACAAAAGGTCTGTGTCCTGACTCTGCAATATTATCAGGGAAAGACAGTTCTAAGTTTGAAATTAAGTATCTCTTTGTCAGTAAAGCCAGGTCTGCAACAGTTTGCTTATACTTATGACAAATCCCAAGACCAAAAGGGACTTCAGACCTCAAATCCAACCCCTTATTTCAAGGCAGGATCTACTAAAATATGCCAGGAATTAAGAATTTAAGACAATTCTTGATTATATAAATATCAAAACATTCACAAGAAACCTGCTCCACTGCTTAAGTTATTTCCAATACTTGATCTAATGCTTCTCACTGCAGCTGGAACTCAAAAATTCTTGTCCCATGTTAAGTCTTCTTTCAATACTGATAGCATTTTAATAACTAATTTCCCATCCTGCCCCACAAACCCTTCAAAACCCTTCCTCAATATTCTTCTGACACTAAGAACCAAGAATTCAAAACCAAAGAAAATGGTAGTTACATGTTCCTGTCTGTAAGATCCTCAAAGTTATAACCCCGAATTCGCTGGTGTGTGTCCGATGCTAGAACAGTTTTCCCATCACTCAAGCACCACAGGCATTGTACTCTCACCCCTTCCCAGGAGTCAAGGAGATTGCCATCTAAGTCCTGATCAGAAGGGAAGGGGAAAAAAAACCAAAACAAACACAACAAAACTTTTAAAAAAATGTAACTTAGTTTCAGATCTCTGAGGAGCTGTGACAGAAATATCTTGGAGAGAAAGTCGGACAGAAAGCAAATCTTACTCTGTAGAAGAGAGGACCTAACGAACTAGGACTTAACAGAGGGCTTTTGTAGGTATCTGTCCTGGAGAGCTCAGAATCTCTTTCTTCACTTATTTTCTTGTGTGTGATATGTGCAATCTACATCACGGTGCTCACCATTGCAGTGAATGAGGTTTGCATACTGCACTTTTATTCTGGGAACCAATTCAGATGACAAATACTCAAGAGTGTGAGACTGTGGACCACCATTCAAAATCAACACTAGTCAGGTAATAAAGGTTTCATATTTCTGTTTACACTAAGCAAAGACAGCATGCAAAAACTAAGACAGACATAGTAAAAAAACCTGTGGAATAAACAACATTTGTGGATAAAGGCACTAGTTTTTATTAATGTATTTTCTAGACTGGCTAAGAAAAATTCCCAGCCCACAAACCCTCCTTTAGGCAGAGGAATCCCTCTACAAAGAAATGTTTGAACCCTTCTAACTACTACATAAAACCAGAAGTGCTGCTGAAATACTAGCATTAATGTATTGCTTCTCTGAATTATGAAGAATCAGACATTTGAGTGTACAAACACATTAAAAAAAAAAACAGAAAAAACCATTAATGTCAGATTTCCCAGTGACAAAACTTTCACGCCTTACTTGGTTTTCAATGGGACAAATGCAGAGAACTTACACACTGATAGAACTGTCCACGCTGACCTCCTGTGACAAAACGCTTCCCATCAGGATTCCAGGCCACGCTTGTTAAACTGTCTTCATGAGATTGGCTCATCTTTGTCCTCAGCTCCCCAGTCTGGAAAATAAACAAATGCAGCAAGGTCTTATACCAGAACCCTTTCCCCAAAAGGCATTGATAATTTTCTTTGACATGCATAGTGTGTAGAAGTGCATTATTTCAACACAGTTTTTTAAAAAGCAACACAAACCTACAAAGAATGCAATAAAAAGGCACAACTACTTCAGCATCTCCAGTGACCCTGGCCTTGATTTTGGACAGCTTCTTTTGTCCCTCAAATCAGAAGAGATGGACTGGGTGGTATGTCAGACAACTGGAAGATTATTAGTAAAGAGAGGAATTAAAAGAAGTTGGAAGGACACGTAAGAGAAGAGCAATATGAAATGAAAACAACCATGGACACCAAGGAGGCCAAAAGAAGGAGAGGAGACCAAAAGAAAAATGGAGATGACAAAATACCTTCTAGTAAAAAGTTGGAGTATCGAAGTATTTAGACTATTTTCCTCCCTGAGCTGGAGCTCTGTGCCAAAATTCAGCTTTCACCCCTAGCTTATTATTATAGTAGTATTATACTAGTGTTTCACATGACAGAGAACCAGTAAATGGCTTACCATTGTCAAAACAGTAAGGGCTTCTCTCTGTTCCCTTGTGCCAGCTCTACTGCTCTTCATTGAGCCAATTTAATCAATTAAACAGAAAAGTATTCCAAGGTTGAAAAAAGGAAACATTTTTGGTTTAGGAAAATTAGTTACTTTGGAGTTCACGACAGCAAAAGACTACATGACCTGCAACTGAGGCAGGGCAAGTTTTTATATCAACTGAAGTGCCCATTAAAAATAAAAAAGACCCAAAACCAAACAACAGCAGAAAACGGTTTTCAAACTCACGGAGGAAACAGTTAAGTAACCTAGCGTCAGATTGGAAGTTCTGAAATGATAAACTTAAGCCTTAGTGGACCTTCCACTAACATCATAACAAGGGTTACATAAAGCCAAAATAGCCTGAATACTTCTGCTGCTCATCAAAATCTTTAATATGCAATTGCTCCCCTTAGATGGTAATTATGCGCTCTGTTTCTTTTAATTTATTCTGTTCATCTCTTTAGTAGCTCTCAAAGGTCCTAGGGATTTAAGCCATCCCTTCTCAGAAAGGATCAGATACACTAGAATTGCTGCACAGTCCCAGGCACTTCAATTTTTTTTCCCACCCTGATAGACTATGGAGTACAAATTATGTTACTTGGTTTCTGGAGAACTGAAATTAATCAGTCTCTCTTATATACACATTCACACCTTTGTACAACAAGTTTGTTCGAGTCACTTCCTTCATGCTTAACATATTTAAATACTGAAACAAAAGTGGTGCATTGACCACAAAGTTCTTTTTTTTTTACTTTTAGTACTTACTTGTACATTCCAAAGCCAAAGCTCAGAACAATCATCTGGGCCACAGGCAACAAGATAGCTGTCATCTGGACTCCAAGCAATATAAGAGACACCATATGCGTGACCTTCTAACGTCTTAAGTAGTTTTAGCTGGTGAGTATCCTGAAACAAGAGAGATTCCGTTAAAACAATATAAATGAACTCCTACTATATTTCACATATACATTGTGCCCAAGTACAGCATGGTAAGTTTGCTTTACACAACTTGGCCCCTGCATCTTACATGACAAGTGAATAGGTTCTTACTCGAAAAGCAGTTCCTAGTTTACAGAGTAGGGTCATAAAATGAAAGCTTCCAAGTTTCAACGTGCAAAACAACACTTGTGGGTAATTGTCTTCTGATCTTCTGTGATTCTGAATGTGGAACTAGAAATATTGTGTACAGACTTGTACATTACGCAACACTTGTTTTAGTATAAAAGGTTCCTGTAGCATCACGTCTTTCTACATGTACTGGAATACAAAAGTATCCATATTTTTCAGAACTAAGTTGCTTTTTTAAAAGTAAAGACATGCCTGGAAGTCTGCACGCTGAGAAGGGAAAACCTCCAAGTCCCAATGTTTTTATAACCTTGAGTGTTATCTTGTGTGCACTGCTCAAGAAAGAACTTTTACAGAAATATATTTTTAAAAGGTTCCTTGAGAAGTGTTCTTATTTCAGAACTGCTGCCTACATCAAGCTGTTGCATCTTTTCTGCCAGATTTAGTGAATGAAGCATACTTCACTCAGAGGGTCTTGTATCACCTCTCCAAGTGTTCTGCTGCCTTGTCAGAGCAGCTTGACTTTCAAGCAACTTACCAAATTAAGTATTACAGCCAGATACTGTGAAACAGCCACTCACTGGCTTCCTAAATACAGAAACCTGCTTCAATACAGTATTAGCACTAACTCTTGACAACAACATGAATATAAAAATAGAACTGGGCTTGTTAAACTGTTGACAATTTTTGAGAAGCCTGTTGGAAAAGGCTAAATGGATTTTCCTTCATCATTTCTTCCTCTCCCCCTGCACAGAGGGTGTTTATATCACCTCTTCAAAAAGAGTGACTAGGCTTGATTTCTCAAATTGTCCTTTACCTTTCTTTTGGTTTAGTATTAATCAGCAAAACACCTCTTGGTTCCAAAGAGAAAGATCATTGTCAACAGAGGGACAGAGTGACACAAACAACTGTTTCCTGGGATCAGCTGCGAGGGATTTGGCAACTCTCAACAAGCCTGCAGCTTTAATGGTTCTGCTAGCTAGAAAAACTAAATTCCTCAACAGAAAGTGGGCTAAGAATAATCTTCAAAGCACAGAGAAAGAGGGGCAACAAATGGACTTCCAAGGTCCACTCTCCATTCCAATAATTATTCCTGATCTGCATTAGACCCTGCCATCTGTGTCTGTAGCTAAAGTGATCTGCAAGGAAAAACCAAGTCATGTCTGACATCATCTTGCATCCTGGAGTTTGCCAGCAACAGGGGTATTTCTTTGTGCATCAGGATTAAAGTATGCCTGCCACTTCTCCTGCATCATATTTGAGGTTCATGAAGATCAAGGTACACAGAATATTCCTCTTCTAATGACAGGACTTTGTGGTTGTTACTGTCTCTCATGCTGCTCTCATGCTTCTCTTCAAATACAGCAAAACTGCTATACCATGCTTTGCTCTAAAATAGTAGTCACTGGTATTTCAGGAAAACATCCCCAAATGTACTCAATGTGCTTCCTACCCACCACCAAAAGAAATCTCAGCACTTCTATCCCTTTACATACAGCTTTCCCAGCTTTTTGTTATGTAGAAGAAATAACTATTCAGGTATTAACTTCAGTCTGCAGTAGTTAAGCTCCTTGGTTGAAAAGCCAAAAACTGCCAACAGTTTTTAGGAAGTGCAGAAAATAAGGAAGGTTTCTGTAAGGAAAGTTTTATATCAAAACCACCTGGCAGACCAGGTGATGTGCCTATTCTGCTTATCCTTTGTACTCTAGAGCTTGACATACTTAGCAACAGTCAAATAACGCATTCCACACAAAAACCTACTTCACTCAAGACAGTATTTAATGCTGTTGAATCTGTGCAAAAACTTCAAAATGAACAAATGAAAAAGAAGCATGGGTTAAGACAGCTTAGACATGCAGTTTGGTCTGCATGTGTAAGAAATTCATGATATGAAATGAAGAAAACACATGGAAGCAGTATCATTACACTTCAAGAGGAGCAATGAAGAAAAGAAAGGAAAAAAATTAAGTAATCTCATACATGAAGCATGTGTAGAAGCACAATTCAATTAAAACAGCATTCTCTCATCGCTTGCACAGAGTTGGATGGATGTTTTGCAGTACTTCATTTATACACACCATAATAATTCTAAATACTTTAGGTCTTGAAAACCTTATTAAACTTATAGTTCAAAATACATTGTCGACTGCTACAGGAAATACAAAAAGCATGCTCAGGCAAATCTGAAAATGAACCATTTGTGTTATGTGACCTAATGTTATTTAGGGATCCAACTCCCTAAAAAAAAAAAAAAACAACACTTTTTTTTCTTTCAAGTACTCAAATACAGAAAATAAAATTCTACAAAGCTGCTTTCCCACTAAGTATTTATTAGAAATTTTGTTCTTCTAGCAACCGTTGGCCAGAAGGGTTAAAAATACTCACAAAACATTTATTTGATTAACCAGGTATCAGCTAACAATTTGCTATAAAGTGTGATAATCAAGATGGTATTAAAACCTATCAACATAAAAGGAAGATATGCCTCTACTGGTAAATCAACAGCAAAAACATTTGATCCTTAACTTACTTAGAATTACTCTTAAAAAAAAGCAAAATACACAAATAATTTCCTAAGTAAATTCAATAAGTCAGCTTATACTACTAAGCATCTTTTGGCCCAGAGCACACTGGCTCCAGTAATAAAAAACCCACAATGGTTCTATTCCTGAAAAAATACAGCACTTGCTGGTAGTTCAGGGGCTATGTAACAACTGTGTACACAGAACAGGGTTTTACATTCTCTCATCTCCTCTAATAGCAAAAAGGACTCCAATTATATAATTGGCTACCTAACTTGTAGTGGAAGGATTGAGTTTAGCTCTCAAATGCTACTGAAAGCCAGGAGAGAACTGCAAAAACCCTTAATCTTTCACTTAGCATATCAGTTTGCAGTTCTGTAGTTAAAAACTGCAAGACCCTTACTTTTGATAGTGCTTTACAAGCATTAACAATTTAAAATATCGTGTGCATATGCTGAAGTTTATTTAGTCACATACATAGAAGTACCCTTTTTAAGAATGATTTAAAAGGAGGGTTCCTCACTGTTATGCTCCTTCCACCCTCACTCGATGCCTCTCAAGGCCCTCAAGCTAAGCAGCTCCCCTGGAGGGCACCAGCAGGCTCTACCTCATGGTACTGCATAAAGGCACACAAAGTTCCTGCCCCAAAGCAGCCAACAGTTCAAGTCTATTACTCTCTGGCATCAGGTTTTCAAGTGTCCTCCTTCACCAATTTACACTGAACATGATCTTCAGTCTCTTACATCCCAGAGAAAATCCCTAGTCATTGGGCTACAGTACATGTTAGCCTGTCCTACAAAAATTAAACAACTGTAGCAAGAGAAAGCAGAGAGGGAAGACATATATACACATTTTAACACATTGTACACTTACTGGATCAACCTGCCATATAATAACAGTTGTGTCCTTAGATCCTGTTGCTAGTTTAGTGCCATCGTTGGAGAATTTACAGAACCACACTTCATTACAGTGCTCCGTTAGTATCTGCTGTGTATAGCATGGGAACTGTTTCCTGGGAAAAGAAAGGGATTCATTCACTTATTAATAAGAAAGCAAATAATAAGAGATTTATTATTTTTTGTACATCAAGCTAGTAAAAAGTAGAACAAAAACTTAAATGCAATACCAGACAATTTAGAAAATTCCTCCATTAACAGCTGCTTCAAATATTTACAGGATAAAGTACCTTATCTGGTAAAAAGGTCACACCACCAAGTGATTGTAACTAATTGTAAGAACTTAAAGCTATTCTTATTCCGCTCACATAATTTGTTATGCTTTCATATAATCTGGAATAAAATTGACCTCATTAGGAGTGGAAAAGCTTACAATATACTTCTGTGATGTATAGAAAATACCGCAGTACAAACATCTCTGAACTCTCCATGCAACGTTTGTGCATTGTTTTATTTACATGTGAAGTTTAAGTATCTAACTCACTTAGCTGTATATTGCCAAATCATTAGAAGTTATTATTACATCAAGGTTTAGTAAAATAGTGGTTTGTTCTTGAATGTGATTGTGCGTAAGTTGTTTCTTTTCTTACATTTTGTGCTATTTTTCACTTTCTTTGCAGAGTAACATATAAAATAGCTATGCATGACTAACGATTCTTTTATGAGTTTCAGCTTGAACTGTTTTTCCTCACAAAATCTACATTATTTTGTAAACTAAAGTGTTTATCAAATAACATATTATAAATTACCAAAGGAGAAGAGTCAAACATTTCTCTAGAGCTAATTATTAATCTTCTAGTTACACACTGAGGAAAAGCTAACAGTCAAAATATTAAGTTAGGTAAGAACTGGAAACAAGTTTAATTTTATTTACAGCTTGCTCACTGTATAAGAATCTGAAAGTTAAGCTAAAATAGACTTTTACAGTAGATGCTGCTTTTACAAGCAATACTACAGTAATTACAAGTTCATTATTCAGATGCATTAAAAGGCAGTCTCTCTAACGATGGACATTTTTTCTTGAACTGCAGGGATCCTGAATTGGTTTAGTCTTACATAGTTTTTACAGTGCTCAGTGCAACAGAGCAACATAACAGTAATGAGACACAACAGTACTAATGAAACAGCAGTCTCTGAATATACAGTTGTACTTATCAGTGAAGATAAACTGGCCTAAAGGCCCTCACTTCCTTCAAATTAGTGTTTAAAAATACAGTTTGGTGGTAGCTAGGCTAACAGTCACCTGCAAAACTTCTTACCAGAAGCTAGAAGCTGTATCCTTTCAATCCATCTTCTTTTACCAGAAGATGCTTCCTAGTCCATGCTTAAAGACTAACAAGCAACATTTAACCACCATACATCCCTCACTCCTCTCTTATAGTAGATGAAGATAAACAAAAGTAACATACACAAATACGTAGTTGGCTTCCTTAAGTATGCCTACTTACTCGTTTACAGAGAAATTAAGTCTGTTCTGCTCCTATTTTAAGCTGACCAGCAGCTGCCTAGTTTCCACTAGAACAACACTGAGCCAAAGGTAAAAAGCCCCACCCACAAAAGACTACTCAGTTTTCCTTGAAGGCTAGAGAGAGGTAGGCAAGCCCTTACACAAGTAAGCGCACCTAAAGGAAGACTGTTTCATTATTACTTAGCCATATTGTAGTAAGTTAATGTTTTTCCTCAGAGCACCAATTTGCTCTAGAAGGTAAGAGTCTTTATCTGTAACTCACACAAAGTACAAGGGGAACACAGTGTCCCAGGAAAGCCTTTTCAGCATATTTCATTTAAACAAAAATATAGTCAATAGAACAACAGCACTTGTATTTTAAAGCCTAAAAAAATGCAGCCACAGTTTTGTAGACATGAAAAGCAAGCAGACAATGCTGGAGCACACAATTTTCATAGTAGAGGTGGCCTTTAGGTTCCTAAAAAGGGTAACAGGCACAGTTGATTTAGCTGCTGCAGACACATATCAATATTGAATTATACTGACAATTCAGTCAAGATCAGAGCATTCTCAAGAAGTTCTTTTCACTTAATTAAATATACAATCCAGCAAGTTTGACTTTACATATGGCAAAGAACACATTAAACAACCCTTCTGCAGAATAGGGGGAAGGGAATAGCAGCAGTCTTGAAACAAGAAACCCAAACCAGTCATCTAACCATTTCTGATTTTGGTAATGAGGTACCAGTGTAGCTCAAAGGTTTTTCTTTTTCCTTTTTTTTTTTTAATATTTAACTATGAACTATTCTGTTCAGGACAATACACTTGAATAGTATCATTTACATACTCAGAGTATCTAACAAAGTTATCGATTGTTGTATTTACAGAAGTTCAAAATTCTAAATAAAACACCAAACAGCTGTTTTTTTTATTCCCTGCATATAGGATGGAAGATTAATTCCTTAACTTCCACAACAGTTCTTTCCTAAAAAAAAGTTAAAATATTACATTAATACTACTACTGAAAAAGCAGCAGCATTCACCTCTCATTTGGGCTTTCCTGTTTGTTTGTAAACTCAGACTAAAGTTTATTTACATGAAATCAAGACAAAAGAACTCCACTGGAAAAAAAACAAAACAAAAACGCAAACAACCCAATCAAAACACCCAACTAGGATGATGAATCTCAAATCCAAAACTGACCATACCCAAGACCATCAATTTTCTATTATCAAAGGCACAATGAGAAAAAATCCCTCACCTTCACTCCCAGTAGTTTCTCCCTCTTATCTCCCACTCTTATGAATTGACTGAGTTTTAGTTAAACATTTTACCTATTAGTGCAATTCAAGGATGTTTGATCAAAACATTGCCAGAAGTCCAAAACAGATTAGTTTCAACTAAAAAAGGTAAAGTTGTCAGTGTTCTATCATTTAGGTAGTACAGAACTAAGAACTGTCTAAACTATTACACTACTTCTGTCAGTTTAATAAAAATTTGGCCTCCACTGTCTTTAAGTCACCCGTTATGCCCAAGCATGGCAGCATGTACAATGCACCACACACTGATCTCAGACCCCTACAATAGGTAGGTACAACAGGTTGAGCTGAGGACAGAATGGAAGCCTTGATTTTTAAGTGGAGCTTTTTTTTAGAATCAAAGTAGTCCTGAGTACGTATGTATACATATTAAATATGCAAGCATAATGTGCAACCACACCAGGTATAAAAAAACAAAAACAACCCAAACCAAATTTATGGCCAAGTTTATGTCAGAAAATAGATTGAGATGAGTGAAATTAAAAGTCCAGATTTGTTGCATATAGTATCTTCTATATTTGTCTCTATCTATTCTGACTTCAGTTGGTTTAATAGTTGGCTTCAATGCTCTCTGGAGTTCAATTACATCAACCCCCTACAGAACATCCGGAGTTATTTATGGACTTGTAGAAAGACTAAAATTAAATCTTTCCATTATTTTTATTTGAAAACTCAATTCTGAAGCTGAAAAGCTACAATTCCAGTATCTGATCATTTCAAATAGCTCTTAAAATGGGGAACAGTTAAATGTCCACACACAAGAATGCGACGCAGCAAAATGGCAAGCTAGACCACAGCCTAAAAATGTTACTTGAATAGATGAGGTGCCAATGATTTTAATCTTAAAACCTTAAGGTGGCTACAATGAAATACTGTGGAAACCTGCATCTTTAAAAAGATTCCAAGTAACCCAAGAACACAAGTTAAAACAGCTCAGTGGAGAGTTTCTATAAGCAAGTTTGTCAGTACTTAACTTCCTTATATGAGCTAACCTTAACATGAAAAAAAAAATTTCCTGTAAGCCCAAGTGTAGGTCTATTACATGAATAAACATAAGGGTATAATATACAGCTCGTATTTTCTAGGTATCCTAGCCTCCATTCCCTTATTACATCAGACACAGCAGTTTTCCATTAAAGCTATGTTGAGTTTTTACATCATTGGCTGAGTTCTGCTGGTTAAGGAAAAAAACACTCAAGTCAGCCATTGCCACTCTTCTAGAATATATTTTCAAGATTCAGAGACAGCAACAGTTTTGATTAAAAAAATAAATAAATCCTGCAGACAGCCTTAAAGAGCCAATATGTAGATGTAAGAGACTTTCAATTCTTACTACCTTACAAATTTGAGAGAATAGTTCATTATATCTAACATAAATCAGATATGTTTGTTGTGTGTTTCTACTCTGTTTTAACTTTTGTGCCTCACTTGTGCACCTCGCTATCCAGTACTACAAATTAAAACTGAAAGTTGACTTATTGAAGTATGAAGACAGAGTCTGGGTAAATAACATACTACTGATTCTCCAGTGAAAAAACACAGCAATCATGTGTCGATGAATAAACAGACTGACTGTCCAGAAATACAAGAAACAAGTTGCTAAGGGCTAGCATAGTAATATACGCTATTCATACCCATCCAATTAAAATTTTAAAGCTTCAGTCTGATCCCACTACCCCATATCTAGCTACCAAAGTCTCTTGTACACACACACACACACCTTCTCTACTCCTTCCAATTATTAATTTAATAAGAACTGTCTTTTCCCATTCAAGTCCTGTTAAACCAACTCAGTAATTTTAATGTTCCTTAAAATAACATTATAACAACTGTTGTAAAAGACAGGGAAAAAAATTTTTTTTGACATCTTAAAAGTCACAAGAGTGTCTTACCTACTACAAACATGATCTATTAGCAGCGAGACAGAATCTAGATTACTATCTAGTTTGGTATTATGATATAGGCACCGGTCCCGTTGTAGTTCCACAGCCTGACGCAGCAGGTTCTGTAAACGCCTTGGAGGAAGCATCACTGATGGGGGTAGGTATGCTTTAAAAGAGTTATAAAGAAAACAAATCAAAAAAATATACATCAAAACCAAATTACAAGTAAGAGCATATTTTGATCAGTGTTGATGGAAGCCCCCTTAACTAGGTTTAAAAGCTACAGAAAAGTACACACAGCCTGTCAAATTTACAGCTATACATTTGGAATTAGAAGCATGAACTTCTGGAAAGCAGAGCTGTATGCAAGGTATTTGTAGTTATAGTATATATTGTCCTGGACAACAAGCACCATTTACACAAGCTAACTCAAAACCCAATATTTAACAAACCCTGTAAAATTCTAAAACAACCCTATCAGTTTCATTCATGTAAGGAATTCTCTATTAACACTATCAAATAGAAAAAGAATAGAAAGAATAGAAATAAAGAATAGAAAAAAAAGAATAGAAGAAAAAAAGAATAGAAATAGAAAAGAATACCATGAGTTTTACAACTCTGATACATACACCAGCCACAAGAAAGACAGAGGAGAAATCCTAATTCCTAGCAAAGTCTGAGAACACTATCAACTAGAACTACTATCACTAGTGGTGATAAGCCACACTTAGTTTCAGTCTCTCAATATAGGTGGCATTTACCAACAAAACTCCAAACTGCACATTTAATCACCAAGTTGTACTATAACTGCACACAGTAAAGAAATAAGAGCTCCTATTGCAACTAATTTATCAGAGACAGCACAATGTTACATACAGAAGACTGAAGGCTAAAAACAGCTAAAGGCATCCCCATTAACCAAGAAATACGAAACCAACAACTGGCAAATACAATTCCCTGGGATACATCATTATCTAAGATGTACTGGATTTACAGAGGTAGGAATAAATTCTAAACATCTTACTCTGGAGTTTGTCCAAAAGTTTAGATCTCGAAGCTGTTCCTTTCCCCTCCCATTCTGCTTTTGCACGCAAGTCTTCTGCATGGCTACACATCAGATACCTGTTTAAAAAAAGCGCACACACACCAACAGACCAAGTCTTTCTGGGATAATTCTTTTCACTTTTAAGCATGACATACAACATTCTTAATGAACTGGAAGCAGATGACTTAAGCTTGAGACCAATGGGAAAAAAGGCAGAGAATAGTTTAAAAAACACACATCATCCTCAGAAAAAGCATCTACAAGTTGGCAATAGAAAAACAAAACACAAGCAGATTGTAGGGAAGGTAGAAAGGTCTTGCATCAAAGACCAAACCAGACTATATTAATCTACTTGTTCAATTGTAAGATAACAGGCTAATGATTCTCAAGATCAGATGACCATGTGTATGTGTTTGGGTTCCAGTACTATAAATCAATCAGGTTGTTTTCAAGGACCTGCAACGGAACACTCTTGACTGAAAAGTCTTCACTGACCACTTTACCATACCTCACTACAGCTTACTAATCAATGGGATAGCAGCTTTAATACAGTTTGAGTTTTTACAATATCAGCTATCAAAAGCTATAGAAATCCTTAGAAAATTCCACCAAAAATGCTCTCGAAGTCCAAACACTCACCCACTGAGGACATGAATACGTTCTGTATTATACTTCAGAGGCGTCAGTTCACAGCGTAGAACTTGAAGTGCCTCCAGGACCTTGCCATCCTCCAGATATTCCAGGTACTTCTGCTGCAGCAGCAAAAACTTCATCCTCTGACATGACAGAAAGCAGCAGTCAGGGGAAAAAGGTTGACTGAAGTTTCAGAAAACGTTTGAGCCTAAACAGAACAGTAGAAACCATTCTACTATGCCCTTCAGAAATACAGCTAAATGTAATGTTTTATTACTTAATTTCTTTTTACTGGGTTTTCAGCAACAATACAGCAATTAAGTTACCAATTAATTTTCTGCCTGCCTTACAAGGCTCCAAGTATCTTCCTATTTCATTTCTCAGATGCCCCCCCTTCAACTTGCATAATTTTCCTAATCTCTCCCCTTTTCAGTTACCATTCTTGAAACCTTGAATTAGATCAGCTTTCCAATCTTACATTCTATCTATAAAAGCACCCTTAAACACATATGTAAGACTACATGACAGCACAGAACACAGCAAGTCAACTTCAGAAGTTCTCATATTGCTTACATAGGAGCTAACATGGATTGTTTGCATAGCTGTTAAGGTATAGCAATAACAAATGACACTGCCTGAGCCTTTGTTTTGTAGTTCCACATTAAGTTGTTTCCCTTATTGTTTTTCAGGATTACAGATAAAATAGTTTCCTGTATTTAGGAATTACTTCCTAAACACTGCTGTTTAATAGTCTTCCTTTACACCTTCCACAGTTTTCTGTTCTTTTCTTTAAAAAAATAATCAAGCTTGCTATTCTAACAAAAAGTGTCTGTGGATAAAAATATAGGGCATTCTTTTAGTATATTAAAAAACCTGAAGTCCTAGAAATTTCTAATAATTTATTTGAAACACAGTTTGTTTGTTTCTGGTTGAAACAAACTATTCTGTGTTTGCACATCACCTTTACTGCTAGCAGTTATAAGAGAGAAAGACATTTCTGGTCCACAAGATTCACCATGTTAAACAGGAAAATATACACTCTTAGACACCTCAGTAAGAAACATAAGATAGATTAAATATGGCAAATTACATTTGCTTCTCTAGTAAATACACCACAAGTACAACCACTGGTTTCCTCTCCTTTGTCAGACCTCAGGCACCTCACTATTTTTATGCTCATATTCGGTCAATGTTTACTCAATTTCAAACACATTGCTAGCCTCCTTAAGTAGAGGGATAATTGGGAAGTTTAAGATACTGCTGTCCTATTAAAGCTGACATGAAACTTTAAGGTTTACTACAGGTAAAATTCAAATTTAAAATATAATGCAGTTTTAGCTTCCAGAGACATTCAGGTCTTCATAAGTTTCCATATACAGTGTTATTAACTTACCACACACACCTTTGTGAAGCTTAAGACATTACACAGTGAAGGTGATTTACATTCAAACATGTCTGTAGTACTCTATTGTCCTGTATGTGACAGGAAAACCCATATAATATTAATTTGGAATTGTTACAGCATCACTATACAGTTTTTCCAGGCGATACAACATTTTTCGGTGTTCTGACATGTAGAAAAATAAGAAGAATATTCCAATTATTTACAACCTCAGTGGTTGGTTCCATGAAGTAGGCCAACAGATCTAACACTGTTTGCTTATATACTAGCAGCAGGTGAGACAACAGCTTCCCCTCCCTGCTACACATGTGCTCACAAGAATACATGGTGGTGCATACGTAGTAGTCACATACTGCATTTCATTCCTCTTGTTCACCTCACACGGATGATCACTATCTGATAAAAAAATATTCTAGTATTTCCAGTTTGTAATAAAAACTATAATCCCTCTAATTCTTCCTTCTCCATTCACCACACATAGTATTTATTAGATTTATATAATCTTTCCCCCAAATAAGATAAGCGTATCTGTATCCAATTACTTTCTCCCTCCCTACTTTTAGGACTTGGCATGTTAATTTAATTTCTTTAGGGGGAAAAAGTAAAAAGAGCAGAAAATCCTAACAGTTTGTGTAACATCAGCCCTAACATTCCCATGGAAGCATTGTAGTAACACTATAATGCAGAATACTGTTGCTACGTTACCCAAAGAGGTATAACTTCAGTTTTGGATTAGAAAGTATAATTAAAAAAAAAATTAATCAGTGCCATGTGTGACTCTGGCATATTAGGAATATAAAGCCTCCATAACAACACAGTACTGTACATTTCATGCAGGAGTCTACCGTTAACATAATGGAGAATTAGAATAAAAGATAAGCAGTTTTAAATTGTCTTATCTATAGCAAAAGCCAGAGACTAAAATTTTGACAAGAGAAATTAAACTGATTTTCTAAGGTATTTTGATAACCGCTCCAGAACTTGCTCTACAGAGTAGTCTAACAATGGCATACCTCCTTAAGGCAGAAGGTACCCCCCAAAAAATAATATTAAGTGTATCAGGACACTCCTGGCCCCCTGCCACATTTTTGTGTAGCTATTGACTTTGCTGACAGATTTCACTGAATGACTGAATTTTGTCTTTTCTCTCAACTGTTTATATGGCCTGGCAACAATACTGTTAATTACTTCCAATATCACCTTCTCACAGTAGACAAGGCCATTTTGAATACATCACCTCTTCTAGAGCCCCAACAACCTCTTCTAGAAGGAAAGGGAACTGTTTATAACATTGGCAGCTGTAAAGTAAAAGCACAAAACCTGGCATTTAAGTAAAACAGAACAAGTATAAAACCAAATTGATACAATGCACCCAAAAGAACAGCTTACTCACTATCTATTTTTTAGCTACCTTCCAAAGAAGGGAAATAAGAACTATCATAATCAAAATTATACCACATACAACATAAGTGCCTGGAATTTGTTACTATCATCTCAGTGTTTGCAATGGAAATTTAACACCACTACACAGTTTACAGTTGAACTATTTGAATCCAGACACTACCACCACTTAGCTTGGAGTAAAATCTTCACTCTGTAGGACCCATGGTAGAGTCCAATGCAATAATTTCAGCACTTCAGTCTGGCTGGTTTTGTCCAGTTATTACTACCTCATCCTGTCTTTCAACTCTCTATAGAGGGCAAGGATAAAATGCATTACTTTGTTGTTTCTAGAAGCTATCATTTAAGTGTAAGTTAACATCCTGAGGCAAAACTAAGACAAAGTTAACAGATGTACAGGGGTTTTTCTAGTTTTGTTTTAATTTACGAACTATCAGCATTTTGCTTTCTTCAAGCGATAGCTTTTGATTACTAACATGAATATTTAGTATTTTACTCTGCCACTGTCCTCATCGTTAGTGGGAAAGCCTGTCAGAATCTTAAAATTCTGAGAAGTTTTACATGCACCATGATTGACCAGCACCATGCAACTGAAGGTGACAGCCTCAGCAACACAACCATGAAAATAACAGGACAAACATCCCACCACAGTCAAGAAAATGGGTCATTCTGATTAACAGTCTTCTAAAACACTTAAGCACTTAAAGAAACACTTTAAAAAAAACATTCAAAACTTAAATGTAAGGTTTGCTATGTAAAGGGCAGAAAATACTCTGGCCTACAAGATTTAAAAAGGCTTCAACGACTTCACAAGCAACTCATTCCACTAGGGAACTGCCCCTACACACTGGTAGCAAGAGGAACACCATACAGGTGGAGCACTTTGCTCAAATGACAACTTTTTTTGTTGTATTGCCTGCTGCAGTAGTTGTGTATTTTCAGAACTGATGGAAAAGCCTCATTTAAGTAAATGAAAATAAGAAGTAAAGAGGACAAATAGAAAGCAAATTCTAAATTACTACAAAGGAAGAATCTAACTGAACCTGGGAAGGAATGTGAAGTCTCCTAAGATAGCTGCCAGTAGCCCTAAAGTAAGCAAAACCTCGGGCTAGCTTGAAGCTAATACTTTTTAAGTGTTACTCAAGGAAAAAATAACATGCTTGAAATAATTACAAAGACTTCCTACAGTTTGTCTCCAGACAGCTGTATCTTACATAAGATAGCTGCCAGTAGCCCTAAAGTAAGCAAAACCTCGGGCTAGTTGAAGCTAATACTTTTTAAGTGTTACTCAAGGAAAAAATAACATGCTTGAAATAATTACAAAGACTTCCTACAGTTTGTCTCCAGACAGCTGTATCTTACATGCTGGAAAAGTAAACATGACTAATCACATACTATATAGCACTCACAGTTGCGTTGACATAAACAGAAATAAACAAGACTGTCTCCTCCCCTCCAACATACCAATACACAGCGTCAAAGTTTTACAAATTGACATCAGCCATTTCATGTTTAGTGTTTTCACCTGTAGAACTTTCAGCACTTTGCAGAAATAGGGAAATTGAAACAGGAATAGAATTTTCAAAATACATATGAATCGCCTTCACTGACCAGACATTTCAAAACCAGCTACATAACCTGGATATTTTGTTCAGGTCACAAACTATAAGAAAAACAACTGCAATATGAAAACCAAAACACCAAACACATGCACACACCTCAGACAAACACATCCTACTTTGTTAACTACTCTGTGTCATCTAAATTTTTAGGTACTCATTCTTCTTGTGTGCATACATTTTTGAAATATCTAGCCATACGGTGCAAATCAAGAAACCCAAAATTTACTTTTGTTTTTAAAAAGTGCCATGCCTGAACTTTCCCTAATCCAGACATATACCATATACCTCTTTGTTGTAGTCTGTATTACCTACAGACCATAAAGCATCCTTCCTGACTTGACGTGGTCTTCCACTAGTTTTACAGGAACTGACTATACTAATACCCACCCAGAATCTCAACCATATACAAAATAGCTGTGAGGGGAAGGAGATGGAGACAGGGCACATAGGATGGAGCACACACAAGCTCAACTTACCCCGGCAAATCGGTATTGTCTTACTAACATACGACATTTAATACTGTCATCTGTTTTAAATTATATGTTATTTATATAAAGCAGAACAACTTCAGGTAAAGTTCAGTCTCAGCCAAGTATTTTTACTGCACTAAGTTTTATTCAAGCAGTCAGACATGAACATTGAAGAATAGCATGCTTCCAGAGCTCTCCAAAACAACAGAAGGAAAATGGCCCCCTTTTCTTCAAATTAAGGTCTCCAAAAAGTACAACACTGATACTCAGTTAAACCCCCTGACTACCAGATACATAAAGCATTTGAATACTCCAGAGGAACTTGATAGCTTCAGAAGATAGATATGAGAACATTTACTTCAAATGAACATTCATACTCACATACAGTGGTTTCATACTTTCAGTCTCCATAAACTATTGAAAACTGCAGGCAATATTCAAAACTATTTGAACAGTAGATCTTACATGCATCAAGCCTTCAAGAAAAGAGAAAGTGAACTAACTACTAGCCTAAGTAAGAGGTGCTAAGCTTGATCAAAATAACAGAGCAGAAGAAACTTCTCTTAAGTACCTTCTGATGTCTTGTGAAACATCTGCCTTTCCTACTTCCTGTTCTCTCTTTCTCTCCCTCCCCCACCGGACAGGAAATTGTCTTGACAACAAATGAATCAGCTAGAAGTGGAGCTAAGCAGCTATCAGCTGATTCTTCATTGTTTACAGCCACAGACACTTTAAAAAGCCTTACTACTGTTTTCTTCCAAAGTGACCTTAGTTGTTCTCACTTCATTTTGTTAAAATTGAAGCTTAAACACAACAGAACACTTGAAGAGCTAAGTAATTATTTTCATCTTGAGATAGGGAAAAAAACCAAAAACCAACCAAATGAAGAAACACTTCCCTCAAAGTAACCAAAATCAGAACAACACATATTGTAATGGTCAAGTCACAGGATCTACCAACCTTTTATTTCTAGGTTCATCTTTAAAATAAAAGCCAGCCAAAGAGAAAAAGCTCCAAATAAAATCCCGAACAGCAATACAAATGCATTTGCTCTTTAGAAGCCATCTGGAAAAGCAACAGTATTGTTCATGGTCTATAGCAGCCTCTATATTCTTGTAATGTGCTATTACAATGCCAACTCAACATCAGTATTACTGCATTTTATTTCTAAACTTCTCTTCCCTTAAGAAAACCTAACTCATGTAAACAGAGATTGTGAGAAGTACTTCAAATTTTAAATTAGTATTCAACATAAGCAATTTCTACAGAAACTGAGCTATTTTAGGACTCTTTACAGGATTTCTATTTTATCAGTTAAGTATGTTCACAGTTTAAACATTCAGTGCAACAAATACTAGCTTCAACTATTTTGGGCTTCCTATCTCACATTCTAAAAAAATAATAAAAAGTTCAGATTAGTATAGTGTTTGAGGTAGCATGCAAGCCAACTGAAGTAAACGAAAAAGAAAGCAAGAAGTTTGGACAACCAATTCCATAGTGAAATATTACACCACTACAATTAGTCCAACTATACAGCTCTGAAAGAGTTCAAGTGCGCCTCTTACCACAATTGCATGCGGAGAATGCACTAAGGCCTTAAGTTCATTCAGGTCGTTCTCAGCCTGCAGAAATCAGCATAAAAACAAACAAAACAAAAAAGTATATAAGGAGGGTGGATTTTGAATTCTCTCACAGATACTATAAATTTAAACAGTGGTTAATACAGTCCTATAAGCCCTACGTTACCTTATCCCATTCTCCTTCCATGACATGATTGCGGAATTTGGTAGCAGAAGGATGTTCTAAACGACATCCTGACTCTTGCATGAGAAGATCAACAGTCTGGCTGCAGGAGAGATACAGTGTAAAAAAACCTTACCAGTTTTACCCTCACAAATATACTGCCTGCTATGATAACAGTTAACCATATTTAAAAGTAACTTTAATAAAGTAAGAAAACTATGACCAGATTCAGATGCTTGTCCAAAAAGACTACCTCGTTTGCCAGGTAATGGCAGACACGTAAAGAGCTACCTATATCTAAAGCAACTTGTCAATGAGCTTGAAAGCTTCGCTGAAGTACCATAAAGTATGTGACTTACCAGCCACCACAAACAGCCATCCCTGCACAGAAGATAAACTTCATGAAGAAAGACAGACTAGAAAGCTGTTAGCTACTGGCTACTGTTCCCTGCCCACCCCTTCCCTTCCCCCCCATAAAAGAACATGGAGAGCTGCTACATTTGCAACAGGTCTAGCTTTCTTCTTCCTCATCATGTATTAAGAGTGGCTCCTTAAAATAAAATAAACAAACTCATGAACCTGTAGCCCTCCCCCTTTTACACTAAAAATAGCTTATTTACTGTGGTGTCATCTATGACACAGTCACGAGTTGTCTTCTGCTGTAAAATAAATTGCCTCTGACACAAGAGGCAAGATTATGTGCTAAGTTCTTTGTAACTGACCCATTCCAGAGTGTTTTGAAAACTTCTTTGTGGTAGCTATGTGAAGACTTCACAGGACTTCTACAGCCTATTTCCAAAATTGTCATGTGCTGTCTCTACCTTTACTCACAAAGTAAGTGTTATGATTAAACACTTAGACATCTCCTCTGGGAAATTATTTTCCTTATTCCGATTTTAGGAAACAGAGCCAACATACTAATTTCTTGTCTATAGCTAGGATTATTACAAAAAACATGTGCCCAGCTCAGCAGAGGCCTTCACCGTTTACAGGGCCGAAGGTTTCCAGAGCGAAACCAAACAGCCCATTTAAGTGGCAGCTTAGCTTACACTCACTTCCTCCCAGCTGAGAAGCCAAATCTCGGAGCTCATCTGCAAAAAGCTGCACCCCCCCCCCCGCCCCCCGGGCCACATTACGTTTCCCAGATAACTTCTCCCACATGAACACATTTGTATCGATCTGCCCTTATCGGTGTGCAACTCGACTTCCATATTGCCATCCCTGGCAGAGGAAGCTCCCGGCCTGTCCCTTCGCAGACACCGAGCTGACCGGCACAGGCTCAGAAAACACATCTCCGGCTCCATATTTTTAATTTGTTTTTTTTATGTTTGGTTTTGTTTTGTTGTTTGTTTGGTTTTTTTTTGCGACCAGGCCTGCCCCACTGCTCGGCCAGGCTTTTTTGCCACCAAGCCCTCCCGCCCCCAGAGGTCCCTTCCCCTCCTCGAGCCCCAGCTCCCCATCCTCCCCGGGGACCACCGGCCTCCTGCGACCCTGCGCCGGGCCCCGCCGCCCCCTCCCCCGCAGGCAGCGAGGCGGGGGCGGGTGCGGGGCTTCCCCCGGCCTTTCTCCCGGAGGCCCTTCGGGCAGAGCTGCCCGGGACGGCGCGGGGAGGGAACCCCCCCTCACCTCGGGCCGAGCTGCCCCTCGCCCACCGCGGCCTCCTCGCCTCCGCGGCCGGCGGCACCTACCTGA